TTAATTTATTCTTTTTTTTATATTATAATAAAGAACTTCAAGTAGAAAACTTGAATTTTAAGTGTATACTGCATAAAAATGAATTAAGTTTAATTAAAATATAGTGTCGAGGATCTGATAGATTATATAAAATTTAAAATAAAAAATTTTCTTATGCACCTGATAAGAAAAAGAATATCGGTTCTCAATATACTTTAAAAATATCAAGTTCACGATATTACTATAATATTGGATACCTAAAGGAATCTAAAAAATATCATGCTCCCAATATTATTATTTATTATCATATACCTGATATTAATAAAATATTGGGTACCTGAGATTAAAACAAAATTTATCACATAGTTATCAGGTGTATTATAAAATTTACAAAAGTGCTATTGGGTCTTTAAAAAAAAATGCAAATATCAGGTACCCAATATATATAAAAATATTTCATGTGTCTGATGATTTTCTGATAATTAACCGATATTTGAAAATATCAGGAGACCAATAGGTACCCGATAGATATCCGATATTCGAATTTTGACTTGTAATAACTAGATATTTTTTTACTTCCATATATAAAATGAATTCTGTATAAATTTCAAAAAGACAAAATATCTCAAAAATCAAAAATCAATTTTGAGAATATGTATAGTATTCAATAATAGTTAATATTATATAACTACTAAATATATTATTTAAGTTATTGCTAATTATTCTGAATGTATCTATTAGAAATAAAAGACGTAATACAAATTGAATCATGAATTTAACTAGATCTAATTTAGCCAATTGAGTCCAGGGATTAACTCTAGTGCAATTGGATACAATGACTAAATATTGATGCAAAAGTCAAATTCTGATACAATTTTAATTAACTAACGTAATTATAAAATTTATTGAATAATTGTTTTTTAATATTTTAATAGTGATTGATTTTATATTTAGTTTTAAATTGATTTTGTATAATAAAGAATAATTTTTTATTATAATATTTTTATAATAAATTGAAAAATTTTGATTGTTTTTTAAAAAGAAAGTGTTTTTTAAAAAAGTGTATTTTGTTTTTATTTTGTGAAGGAATAAAAAAGTAAGAGAGTAAAAGTGAAAAAATAAGTAAAAGAGAGAGTGAAAGTGAGTGAGTTAGAATGTAAAAGTGTGTGAAAGAAAAAATAAAAATTTTAAAAATTTTGAGAAATTTGATATAATTGAATTGAATTAAAATTTAGTTAATAAAATTAAATTGAACTGGAATTTAGCTAAAACAAAATCAATTAGTCAAGATGCAATTAATTAAGTCAAGTTAAAATTAATTGAACCAATTATCTCTAGTATCCATATCAAATTCAAAATATTATTTTTAACTATTTATATTTGTTATATAATATTATATTTTATATCAGTATTATTTCATTCTGTAACAATGCTTATTTTTTATATTTGACTTATATAAGCTAAACTAATTTGTATTAAAAATTTTATTAATTTTTAATCATTTAACATGTAATATATATTATAATATATTTTATTAATAAATTATAAAACCTTATCTATAATTTTAGAATTTACACTTGTATTTGTATAACTTAAAAATTAATTTGATAAAAAAAGTTAAAATTATCTTGAAAATTTATATAGGTTATACCTGTTATTCAAATTTCAAATAATTTGAATTTTGAAATATCAAAATTTCATATTTATAATATTTATAGTATTTGGATTTTGAAATTTCAATAAAATTTACTAATAATAATATAGAATTTGAAATGAGAGATTTGAAATTTGAAATTTTGATATTTAAATTTTGAATTTGAGTAGCAGGTATAATATAAGTAATATTATAGTTAAAGAAGAATATTCTCTAGAGTTAAAAAATTTGTATTTTATAACTTGAAGAGTTAAATATTAAAATAAATCCAAACAAAATATGATATAACTCTTTATAATGGTAATTTATAAATAATTAAAATCAATATATTCGATAAAAAGATGTATATATTAACAAAATAGTTTTTTATAGAAGACAGAATTATTTTATATAAACTATTTTGAAAATTCATATAGATAGTATTATAGTTAAAAGAGAATATTCTTTAAAATTAAATAATTTGTATTTTATAAGTCAAAGAATTGAATGCAGAAATAAATTCAGATAGATGTAATATAACTCTTTATAATAGTAACTTGTAAACAACTAAAAATCAATATATCCTATAGAAAGATATATATTAACAAAATAATTTTTTTATGGAAGACAGAATTATTTTATATAAACTATTTTGAAGATTCATATAGATAGTATTATAGTTAAAAAAATGTTCTCTAGAATTAAATGATTTTTATTTTATAACTTAAAGAGTTGAATACAGAAATAAATCTAAACAAGATATAATATAACTTTTTATAATAGTAGCTTATAAATAACTAAAATCAATATATATTATAAAAAAATACATATATTAATAAAATAGTTTTTTATAGAAAATATAATTATTTTATATAAAAAATAAAATTTTTATCTCTATATATAAAATAAATTCTAAGTAAATTTCAGAAAACAAAATATTTCAAAAATTCAAATCAATTTTAAAAACATGTATATTCAGGATTTTCAATATCAATAGTTTGATTTGTTGATATAAGAGAAATGTTTTTAATATTTATAATAAATATAAATATTTTTTGATTCATTTCTGTATTGATTTTTTCCATTTTATAGATAATTTATTTTCATGGTAATTCAAGTTGAAGTGCAGTTAAATTTCTATATGTTTTATGAAAAATTGGTCTTTTATCAATAAATTTTGTAAAAGTATTTATTTATATATATATTTTTTTCTTCATTCTTATTATTATGATCTTGCCTCAAACATTGAAATAAATTTTCTATAAAATTAATTAATCAATTGGATTATAAAAGCCTAAGATTTCTTTTTCAAAAGTTCTATTCACTTGTATAGAAAATGCTCTTGGTTATTTTGTTTTCATGCACAAGTCAAACACAAAAGAATAGGCAGCACAAATAGAATTCTGATTTTAGCTAATTTATCATATAGGACAAATAGGACAGTTGATTTTAACTGGTCTATGATATAGGAATTCCAATTTTAGATGATCTATAATATAAGAATTACTATTCAGTACAGTATTTGACTAGTGATGAATTCACTTAGAATATTGAATGGTTTAAAAAAAATGGAAATTATTTTCACATTCATGTTCTACATCTTTAGCATTAAGACTAAATACATGTATTCTAGAAAATAATGCATGTGTATTAGGATTTTTTTTTCTATTTGAAGATAATGTTAGAATTATTTTTATAATAAATTATATAAAAATTTTAATTAAAAAAATATACTAACTTGTAAATATTCAGTTGCAACTTTAGTAGAAGATTCTTTTGATTCTACTATTTCAAATTTTCTTCAAAAAAATCCTGAATATTGGTTGGTTTGATTTATATTTAATTTCACATTTAACAATGTATTGTAAATTTCTACCCCAATTAGTTTGAACTTTATAATTATTGGGAATTTTTAAATCGTTTTCCAGTTTGTGAATAAGCAAAATGTATATATTAAAAATATTTTTGAAGAATAAAATCCTTCACTAATAATATTATGGTACCATTTTGTTTTTAATAAAAAATTAGTAGTCTCAGGATATTTGTTTTCATGATTTCAAGAGAAAAAATAAATGCTCATTTTTAGTTATTTATTTTTTAAGTGTCAATTTCACGCGCGCGACGGAATAAAATTTAAGATTATTTTATGTTTTCTGACCCACTCTGGATCGTGTAACATATAATAATGCGATATGATGATCATTAATTACAATTTACACAAAGGAGATAGTACTGTAATTATTTATCATAAAAAAAATAAAATGGGATCTTTTCACTAAATATATATATTATATTATATAATGTAATGTAATGATTTGTTAAACAAACAAAAAAACTTAGATGTATGAGATATATGAGAACCATATTTCTATATTTGACATTAATACGCACAATTATCATCTGATACGCGAGTCAAATACAAATAATACAAATAATAATTTAATTGGATGGAGAATGGTATGTGTTACTCGTGTTACCTCAAATTATAACTTTACGCGATTCATCTGCATATGCCAATAGTATATATAAACTATATAAACAATTTTAAATTCAAAACATGTTATTGTAATTCACAACTAAAGATTCCAAATGCTTCAAAACGAAATATACAAATTAAAACATTATTTCGGAGTAAGAAAGAATGAAATATATTTGATTTCTTTGTTTAATACTTTTATATTCAGAATACTTACAAACACGCGTTACTATTATATTCTATTCTTCAATCTTCAAATCTTCAAATCTTTAAATCTTCAAATCTTCAAATCTTTGTTACGTGAAATTTTTTTACTGTGAAAGAAAGGAACCGACGAAAACTGCTCTTTATGGTGTGAGCTTTAATCAGTATGATCAAAAAGAAGACGCTGTATTTGCTGTGGTAGGAGGGCGTAATGTAAGTGTTATATTCTATAACAATATTGAAAGTAAAATTGTTAATTACATGATTTTGGTATAAATATCAGGTCATATATTAATATATATAGGTGATCATTGGGCATTTTGAAAATAACAAAACTGTAGCACTCAATATTTTACAAACTTATGTAGATGAAAATGTAAGTAATTAATTAAGAAATGAGGAAGAAATTTTTAAATAATTATAAATAACTCCAAAAAAGAAATAACATTTTTATTATAGGAAACCGAAAATTATTATTGTTGTGCATGGTCATTTGATCCCAATACAGGAGCACCTTGGCTTGCCGTAGCTGGATCTACAGGACTTGTTAAAATTATAAACACGAGTTTAGGACACATTGCACAGACACTTACAGGACACGGTGATGCAAGTCAAAATATAAATGAAAAAATAAAATAATTAAATTTTGACATTCAAGCATTCCAATCATAAATTTTTCATTTAATTTTCAGGAGATAAATGATATAAAGTTTCACCCCAAAAAGCCAACATTATTATTTTCGGCAAGCAAAGATTTTTCGATACGACTTTGGAATGTAATCACCAGTACACCGATCGTAATATTTGGTGGGGAATGTGGACATCGAGAACCAGTTTTAAGTATTGTAAATAATATAAATAATGTTGAAAAAAAAAATTATTTTAATATTTTAATATTGTTAATTAAATTAAATTAATTAATTAAATATAATATAATATAATATTAATAAAATAAAATTAAATTAATTCAGGATGTTCACTTATCAGGAGATTTCTTGGTTTCTTCGGGGATGGATCATGCAGTAAAAATATGGTCATTATGTACACCCGTAATTAAGAATACTATTGAATCATCATTTAAGGCCAAACCACCTTCATCATTACGAAACCAACAAAATCAAACTCAATCATGTTGTAAATCAAATGGATATACATCAACACCATTATTCATACATTTTCCTATATTTTCTACAGCACAATTACATAATAATTATGTTGATTGTGTGAGGTGGTATGGAGATTTATTAATGTCAAGATGTGCGGCCGATGCAAAAATATTATTATGGAAACCAGATGTTGAATTAGTTGCAAGCGATAAATCTACGGTAACAACTACAATAGTTGGCGGACCAGCCGTCCCGAGTAAAGTTAGTATTTATTTATTTTATTTATTTACCTTTGATATTACCAAGAAATATGAAATAATAATATGGAAATAAATAAATAAATAAATAATTAATTAATTAATTAAATATTTAAATATTTAATTAAATTATTTTATATTTATAGCAACCAACAAGTTTTGAAATGATATGCGAATTCGAATTTGAACAATGTGATATTTGGTTTCTTCGATTTGGAATATCTCAAGATTATAAATTTCTTGCTACAGGAAATCAAGTTGGACAAATATTTTTATGGGATTTGCAAGAAATTCCATACTTTATTAATAGTTATATTGAGAAAAAAAAATTAAAAAGTACAGGAATAAAAATGGATAAAACTGTAGTAAAGAAAAAAGGAGGTGGTTCAAATAATAAAAAGTCTCGGTCCAATAGTAATAATAATATTATTGATAATAATAATATTATTAATAATAGTAATAATATTATTAATAATAATAGTGATATTAATAATCACAGTAATGATATTATTGATAGTAATGATAATATTAATATTAATAATATTATTAACATTAATGATAATTATAATAATAATAATTATTATTATAATAATTATAATAATAGTGGTATTAATAATCTTAATAATATTAATAATAATGATAATAATAAGAATAATAGCAATAATATTAATAATCTTAACAATTATAATAATGATGGTAATAATATTCATAACATAATTTCCAAAGGAATTAATAATAATAATAATAATAATAACAATAATAATAACAATAATAAGAATAATGGAGAAAATATAGATAAAAAGATATGCAAACCCGCAGTTCTAGATGTAGACATATGTGATAGTACGATAAGACAAGTAGCATTCTCAAAGAATAGACAATGGATGATAACTGTTTGTGATGATGCAACTGTTTGGGGTTGGAAATTAAATAGAGAAATAAGTGGTCAACAAGCTGGAAGTAGTAGATATGATCCAATGATTATAGATGATTGATTAATTAATTAATTAATTAATTATGAAATAATAATTAACATAGATATAATTTGATATATATAAAATATATATAATGACATTTTTTTTTAGAGATGAAATGAATTAAAGTAATTAAAAGAAGTTTTCTTTTTAAATCATTTATTTGATTTATTTGAGATAATCAAAAAAAAAAGAAATAAATACATTTCACATTTTATTATTGTTATTATTAAATGCGTAACTAAATAAGTAATTTTGTTGTAGGTTGTTCATGTTCATATTCAATCTCGACATATGCTCCACCTAAATTATTTAATTATTTAAATGAATAATTAATTAATTAATTAATTAATTAATTAAATGAATAAATAAATAATATTATAATTAAAATTAAGTTATATCAGCTATATAAAAGCTTACGTTTTTTCTTGTTCGATTGTGATTCTTTGAATATTGATTTCTTTCTCTGTAAATTATAAAATATATAATTAACATAATTAACATCATAATCATTATTATAATAAATAATTACCTGAAAATAAAAAGAAAATATATATTAAATACCTTTTGATTATCATATATTTCTTGTTTTTCCTCTTCTTCCTCTTCCTCTTCCTCTTCTTCTTCTTCCTCCTCATCCCCTTCAAACTCACTTACTTCTTCCATATCACTAAGAAGATCTTCATATTCGCTTGTTTTCTTTAAAGGCAATAGATAATGTTATAATAATATTTGTAATCAATTTACAAATTATTGTTATTTAATTATATTATATTCACCTCTTCATTAAGCATTTGTTCTTCTTCCTCAATGATATCTTCCAAATCTTCAACTTCACTATCATCTTCAATAAATTCTTTTGCCTAAAAAAAGGAAATAGTAATATAATTTTATATAATATATAATATAATATATAATATTATATAAAATTTACGGAATTTGTAAATTTTATATTTTATTAATCAAAAAAATTTTACATTACCTCTAAATCTTCTAAATCTTCTACGTCACTTTCTTCTGTCATATCATCTTCAGCTACAATCTTATCACCTTCCAAAATAGTTCTCCAAACTTCTTCATTAACATTCAATGGCGTATCACCATATGCTTTACTTTTCAATCGACTAATTAATTCTTTTTCAATCACTTTATCTAACCGTGCTGCTTCTTCGGCTTTCCTTTCTCGATTAGCTTCTCGTCTTTCTATCTTCTTTTTAATTCCAACAAGTTTCGGTCTTCAATAAAATTTATAAATTAATGAAATGATAAGATTTCCGTATCGAAAAAAAATGGTTACTCAATTTTATTCTATTTCAATAATAAATACCCGTCTTTCATTTTTAATTTTCTCATTCGAATCAAATATTGCGTGATTTTTGTTACTCGTTGTTTACATTTGTGAATCATGAAGTTTGGCCAATACATTAATTCTTTATCTATCTTTAACCAATTTTTATTAATACTTTAAAATCTAGTAAATCTAATGAAAAAAAAAAAAAAAATCTGTAAATGTGTTTTAAAAAAGTTATTTACTTGTTCTAATGCCTTGGCATAATTTTTTGATAATTTCACTCGTTGCCACATACGTGATGGAGTGTGAGCTCTCTCTGGAGTTTTTATATATAAATACAATATTCCTATAAAGATAATTTAATTAATTAATTAATTAAAAAAATTAATTCGATTTAATTTTGTCTCAAGTTAAAAAATTTTCATGATTCAATCTTAATTTTCATACCTTCCAACTCGCGAACCGTTGCATATTTGCTATTCGCCAAAGGGCAAGATTGTCTACTACAAAAGCCTGTGACATTATACTCGTTTCGACAGAAATTTTGTGTCTCGGTTCTAAATAATTAAAAAAGGGTTCATAATTTCATAATAATTTAGCAATTAAAATAAAATAGTTATAGTTTTACTTACTTAACCTTATACGAGCAAAACTGTTGATTAATGACTTGCCAAATCACGTCGTCAGACATTACGAGAACAAAAATAAAAAAAAATTTTAAGATTAGATGGAAATTAATTCATTGGTAATAATGTGTACCTTCATGGTTATGATCTAATAAAAATAATTTTTTGAAGTTCAAAAATCGGTCAAAAAAAAAATATGGTCAAAAAAGCCATCGATTCAAGAATCCCTACGCTAATAAAAAATGGAGTACAGAAAAAACACCGTACGTTCTTTATAATTGTCGGGGACAAGGGAAGAGATCAGGTTAGTCACTTTGAATAACAGAAATAACAGAATCGATCTTTACAAAGTTTTCCATTCGCTCAGAACGTAATTGTAATTTATAGGTAGTTAATCTACATTGGATACTTTCACAAGCTCAAGTGACTGCAAGACCATCAGTATTGTGGTGTTATAAAAAAGATTTAGGCTTTACTAGGTTTGTTCTTGAGACGGTTTTATTCACAGTTTTATATTTTCTGTACAGTTTTTTTATATTCTCTGTATTAAGTATTTTAACATATATTTTATTAAAGTCATCGTAAGAAAAGAGAAAAAAAGATTCGAAAAGAAATAAAACGCGGTATAAGAGAGCCTAATGAGGAAGATCCTTTTGAATTATTTGTTTCAGTAACGAATATTCGTTATACATATTATAAAGAAACACATACGATATTGGGTAATACATTCGGAATGTGTGTATTACAGGTATGTTTTGAAATTATGAAGAAATTTATCTTTTTAAAAAATTATTTATATCTATTTATATTTTTATTTTTATTTTATTTTTATTTTTATTTTATTTTTTTTAAGGATTTTGAAGCTTTAACTCCAAATTTGTTGGCACGTACCATTGAAACAGTAGAAGGTGGTGGGATAATAGTTTTATTGCTCAAGACAATGAAATCTTTAAAGCAATTATATACTTTAACTATGGTAATTATTATGATTATTATCATTACTAAAAATTAAATTATCACAATTATTCAATTATTCAATTATTAAATTATTAAATTATTAAATAGGATGTTCATTCTCGTTATCGAACAGAAGCTCATGATGATGTGACTGCACGTTTTAATGAAAGGTTCATCCTTTCCTTAGGATCTTGTGAAAATTTTATAGTGACTGACGATGAATTAAATGTATTACCAATATCAGCAGGAAAAAATGTGAAACCATTGCAATTAAAATCACCTGAAGAATCAATGACAGAACAGCAAATTCAACTTAAAGAATTGAAAACATCTTTAGCAGAAACACAACCAGTAGGTTCACTTGTCGCTACTGCTAAGACACTTGATCAAGGAAAAGCTATCCTTACTTTCATTGAAGCCATATCAGAAAAGAAATTGCGTAGTACTGTCACTCTTACTGCTTCTCGTGGTCGTGGTAAATCAGCTGCTCTTGGAATAGCAATTTCTGCTGCTGTTTCCTACGGATATTCTAATATTTTTGTTACATCACCAAGTCCTGAAAATTTGAAAACATTATTTGAATTCATTTTCAAAGGATTTGATGCTTTAGAATATGAAGAACATCTAGATTATGATATAATACAATCAACAAATCCGGATTTCAATAAAGCTATTGTTAAAGTAAATATTTTTAGGCAGCATCGGCAGACAATTCAAGTAGGCATTTCTTACATATTATTATTATACAATTTTAAGGTGAAATTGTTATTGTTCTTGTATTAACTTTCTCTACCTTTCTCTTCTATATCTTTCTCCATCTTTCCGTATTCAGTACATTCAACCCCAGGATGCTCATGTGTTAGGACAAGCGGAATTAGTCGTGATTGATGAGGCGGCAGCAATTCCTTTACCGTTTGTAAAAAATCTTATTGGTCCCTACTTATTATTTATGGCATCGACTATAAATGGGTATGAAGGCACCGGAAGATCATTATCTCTCAAACTTATTCAGCAACTTCGTGAACAATCTAAAGGATTTATTGGCAAAGAAGTTCGTACTTCTATCAAACGTGATGGCAAGATCAAAAAAGATGCAATATCTTTTATTGATGGAGTATCAGCAGGTGGTCGTATACTTCGAGAAATTAAACTTGAAGAACCGATTCGTTACGGACCAGAAGATCTCGTTGAGAAATGGCTTAATAAATTATTGTGTTTGGATGCGAATATTATTTCTAAGAATATTCAAGGATGTCCTCACCCACAACAATGTGAACTTTATTACGTAAATCGTGATACCTTATTTTCTTTTCATCCAGTATCAGAAACATTTTTACAACGAATGATGGCACTTTATGTTGCTAGTCATTATAAGAATTCCCCCAACGATTTACAATTGATGTCAGATGCACCCGCACATCATTTGTTTGTTTTGTTACCACCCGTAAAAGATGGTGATAATTCGTTACCTGATCCTCTTTGTGTTGTTCAGGTGAAAATTTAATGGTTTAACAATTATTTTTATTATATTTCTCGATTCTTAACTAATATATAACTTCATATATAGGTATGTTTAGAAGGTGAAATTTCCCGTCAAGCGGTTATGAACAGTTTAAAGCGTGGAACACGAGCTAGTGGAGATTTAATACCGTGGCTGATTTCACAGCAGGTTATTGGATATTAAAAAATATTTAATTTATCAAAAAATAATTATATAAAACATGTTTAATGAAATATAATTTTTTTTTTTTAATTTCATTAGTTTCAAGATGATGATTTTGCTAGTTTGTCTGGAGCTCGTATCGTTAGGATTGCAACTCATCCTGACTACATAAAGGTATTATATCTTAATTGAAATTTCAGTCATTTTTGTAAAAATGTATAACGTTTATCACATTATTAGATGGGATATGGATCACGATGTCTGGAATTGTTAATTGAATTTTATCAAGGAAAATTTGCATCTTTAGATGAAAATGAAAATTATCAAGAAGAAAATATGACAAGGGTTGATGATGCAGAATTAGAAGTAAATATTTTATTAAAATTTCATATCTTTTTTGATACTTTTTTTTTTTTTTATTGTGTTATAACTTTATCAAATTTTACTAAATTTTATTAAACTTTAGAATGCAGATCTTCATAAGGAAGAGATTAAAATACGGGATCCTCGCAAAATGCCACCTCTTCTTTTAAAACTTTCAGAGAAGCGCCCAGATAGATTACATTATATTGGTGTTTCTTATGGTTTAACTCCTCCCTTACACAAATTTTGGAAAAGAGCAGGATTTGTTCCACTTTATTTAAGACAAACAACAAATGAACTAACTGGTGAACACACATGTGTAATGTTAAAAGCATTAAAATCTGATGACCTTATTGTTAAATGTAATCCAGAATGGCTTAAAGCATTTTCGAAAGATTTTCACAAAAGATTTTTAAATTTGTTGTCTTATCAATTTCGAAATTTTCCTAGTGTCTTGTCATTAAGCATAATGGAAGCTTCTGAAATTGGAAATGAATCTACAAATAATAATAGTGAACGAGGTAATATATTGCAATTACTATAATTACCATAATTATTATTCACAAAAATTTTTTTTTTATATTTATATATTTACATTTTTTATGATTAGGATTCACAAAAAGCGCTCTTGATGCACATTTTTCAGCTTATGATCTTAAACGACTTGAATCATATGCTAATAACATGTTAGACTATCATGTAATATTAGATTTGCTTCCAACAATAGCTCATTTATATTTTGAAAATAAATTTGGTAAAACAATAAAATTTTCTGGTGTTCAAAGTTCAATATTGTTAGGTATAGGTTTGCAGAGAAAAGCTATTGAAGATTTGGAGGTAACTTTCATCAAATATATTATGTGTACGCTTTTTTTTTTATTTACTGTTGAGATCATTACAACTTATGTAATTTTCAAATTATTATGATTATTTAGAAGGAACTTTTACTCCCTTCAACACAAATTTTGGCATTATTTATAAAAATCATTCGAAAAGTTTCTTTATATTTTCATTCATTAGAAACATCTGTGTTGCAAAATGAGATACCTGATGAAACAACAGTTGTGAAGAAAAAAAGAGCTACAAATATCAATAAGTCAACACATGAAGATAGTATATCGGCAACATCTTCATCCCGAAATGGTAATGTAGAAGATGATGCAGATGCATCGTGGGATCCAGTGTCAAAAACTTTGGATGAAGATTTAGAAGAAGCTGGTGATGAAATTAAGAAACAAATGAGAGAAAATCAAAGAGAATTAATAAATTCATTGGACCTTTCAAAGTGATTTTTATTTTTATGTTTTGTTATCAATTTTCATTAATTTGTTAGTATACATTTACAATTGAATCTTATTCCAAATATAGATATGCTATAGATGAAGCATCGGAAGGTTGGGAAGCAGCAGAATCCCAAATTCATGCAATGACTTCGGGTAAGAAACAAAATACTTTGACAATTGTGAGCATCAAAAATTTGGAATCAAAAAAAAAACGGAAATTCACAGATACTGCGGCCAATAGTTTAATTCATGAAGAGAAAAAAATGAAGCAAAGTGGTGGGAAAAAATTTCATAAGAAATCGAAAAAGACTTGACCGTCTTAAAAAGTTGGTGATTTATATTAGGATCAAAATGATCAATTTTTAATTTAATATAATCATAATAAAGTTTTTTGAATGAATTAACAAGAATATAAAATTAAAAATATTCCGAATATGCAAGTGATTTAAATTTCTTTTTTTTAATTTGTACTAATTATTTTCCAAGGAAAGGATGATTCTTTCCAATAAAAAAGATTGAAAAGAAAGCTTTATTATAATTTTTTTGTTTCTAGCATGAGGCAAAAGTCCAAATACAAAAACAATCTTTACATATTTCTGATCAAATTACTGCTTCTTCCAGGTTTATAAAATTCATGACCTGGAACAATTGTTTGATTATTATGTTGCACACGAAAAAAAAAATATCATTGTCGATTTATTTTTGAAATTATATATTGCGCAATCGATTTTTCTGCGAATGAGGCTGATTGCTTTGATGATATTTATTTCTCGCCCGATTCTTTCGTATTTTCGACCTGTTTTTATACACCAAGCATTACCTTCGGGATCCGAGACATTAGTGACCGTAATATATGACGAGTTTCATATAATTATTCCGATTAACTTTTTTATTACTATTATATCATGTGAATAATGGCCAATAATAATTAAATTTTTCAGACGTCACGTACGTGATATAAAGACATCGAAGTGAGACAAATCCGCCATATGATTAATTAATTATGTAATTTGACGTAATACAAGTAATGTAATTTGTACAATTGGAACTTAACTAAATCTATTTGATGAAAAATTATATATAAAGTAATCTGCAAAAATTATTATATATAAATACACACCACTGGTTTATGACTTTTTTCTATAAGTAATATAAGGTGTGAAAATATATTATAAAAAAATAATATGAAATCGGGATAATCTAAGGGCATTTTTTTACGGAAATATATATCTACAAAATTATTGTCCTTCGCTACGCTCTGGTCAAGTAAAATGATACCAAAGTTCCGTTTTGATGCATTTATAGATAACGATTGTTAGATAAATAAATAACACATGACAAATAAAATCCGTACAACTGTGATACTGGTTTTTTTTTTCGCGAGATCCTACACAGTAATTTTTAATTAATAAAATCGTGTAACGTGGATTCGTCCAGCGATTTATTCTGCATGTTGTTAATTCTTTTATAATTACAATTATTACACTTTTTTTCAATTCTTGTTTACGTTAATTCTTTTATGATGTTAATTGTGTTGTATATCTTACTCACTTAATTGTATATTCGCATATTCGATAAATTCAACCTTTTCTAATGATCACGCGAGGAATCTCGAATTCCAGATTATTTACATTACAAAAATATCCGATCACACCTTTTAGAAATAGATATAATTTCATCTTAACCGTCATTATATTATTATATTCATTAATCATTTATCATCCTCGATTATTTCAATTATTTCACTAAATTATTTGATCTCTACATAACAAATAAATTTAACATTTCTGACTCATGTTTAATGCTATGGTTTTGGTAGATATTAAAGCAATGAAAAATCAAGAAGAAAAACAGAAATCTACCAAAATCCAACGCCATAAACACAAGTAATTCGTATAAAGAAATCTCGAGTTCACAAAGAAAAAATGACGCGTAGAAATTACGCCATCAGAGATATAGATTCAGTCATGAAAACAATGATTTACTCGTCGTCAGAATATGGATCCTAATATCATACGAATAAAATGATTATAATAATTTATGATAATCCTTCGTGCTTATATAAAAATTTGGTTATTTGAATATTAATATTTACCTGTCCCGTGAAATCTATTTTTTTCCCTCTCGTTCTTCGACCTTTAATAATGTGAGAAGTATCAAGCGCTTCAAGTTCATCCTCTGTAATTACATTATAAATTAGAATTATAGTACAATCAATTTTTAAAGAACTAAAATTCAATCGTAACAGTAATACTATACTTACTTGGGATACCAACTACTGCTTCATCATCTTCGGATTCACCATTTGCTTTTTTCTTTTTACTCTTTGATGTCCTTTTTGGAATCACCTCTTCATCGCTGCTTTCATCCTTCTTTCTCTTTATTTCCTATAATTATGGGTATATATTTTCAATAAAAATTTTAAAAGTCTAGAATTTCAATAATTCCTAATATTAGAAAATTTTTACAAAGATACCTTTTTAGTATTACTTCTGGTCGTTTTCTTGACACTTGGCACATTTTTCTTTTTCTTCTTACTTGGTCCAACGTCATCCGAATAATCTGACACCAAAGGTTCATCAGACCCACTAAAGTTTTCGTCAGATGAAGTTTGACTTTCAGAAGCGGTTACATCTTTAATCAAAAAATCGGTGAAAATTAATAATGATTAATTTAATGAACGCTAACAATTTCGAATAAATCCACTTATACCATCGTCTTCAACGATGAATCCATCATCATCAGATTCGTCTTGAGTCACTGCTCGTTCAACTTTCGGTTTTAATGTCGGGGGTGGTTTTCTTTTTGCTTGTGAAGAACGAGGAGGAGGATTTGATTTTTTTTCTCTTGAAGAACCAAGTGATCTTGACTCTTTTTGTTTTGTTTTTTCTTCTTCACTTTATATTAGAAACACGCCGAAAATTGATAAACCGTTCACATTTAAAAAAAGATAAACATTAAGTACTTTATGAGTAAACGAAAAAACGAAAACTTAGCCATTTTCGTCTCGTATAGAATAAATTGTCTATGGCGATAAAAAAAAAAGTTAATCAATTTTCCAATAAAATACGTACTGTCCTTCAGCCGCCTCCACTTCTGCTCTACGCTTGGCAGCTAATTCTTCTAGCTTTTTTCTTCTTTCACTATTGGACATTTCTGCGGATTTGTTTATAAGGTAAAAGTAACAAGAACGCGCGAATCTAAACCATTACAAATGTTTTAAATATAATTGGCTAATGAATTCATTCCTCATGTCGTGTTGAATATTACCCCACGTGCCTATACTACCCTATCCTAACCCATGCATATATTAATCACTGTGTATCACACACGATGATAAATATGCTACCCTGATAATCCCTAACCCATGCATTTAGGCACGTGGGGTGAAATTTTTTATGGGGGTAAATTTGCCCGCTAAACACTGCGGCACGCTATGGCGTATAGTTTAAATTTGAGTCACGTGAAATATGCTGTGCTTCAGCTGAGATATTCCGTGTGACTGAGCTTCAAGAAATTTATTTATTTATTACTACGTGTGGTGCTCATCCATAATAAAATTTTACGTTATTGAAATAATTAGGTTGGAAAAATTACTATGTAAAATTAAAAATTAACTTGACACACTTACATCAATAAACTGATAAATGAATTGGTGAAAAAAAAAATAAAAGATAAAAAATAGCTTTTTTAATTAATTTAATTAATTTTAAATCTTACAATCCCGCGAAACTCTGCAACAATTTACAAAAAAAAAGACAAAAGAAACAAAATTTTTTTATTTTTCAGTATGGAAATCAATAATTGCTATTACAGCAGAGGTACATCACACACTACACACACCAGAGCTAACTTTGATATGGCGTTTTACAATCCATATTCATTTTTTCAAATGTGTTTGATTTAGTTGCGATGGACATAAATTTTGACATTATTCTTGTGTGGGTAAAAATTTTAGATTGTTATTGAGTGATCGACAAGGTAGTCAATTTATTTAGGAAAGTGGGGGGTGATAATTAATAAAAATCAAAAGAGTTACACAAAAAGGTTGGCATCTGATTGACCGAATCCAATTATCAATCCTGTTCGAGATACTGCAGATCACCGGATTATCGTGTAATCAACATCACACCCAATGTTGAGTGACAAATATGGTTTGCGGTACAGGATAAGGGTCCCATGCACAGATTAAATTTCCCCCTTTTTGAATTTGATCAGACATATCCACGTTATGCAGTTTTTGTCAGTAATGCATATCTTATTTTGGTAATTTCCATAATTTATCATAAAATGATTTGATTTTTCAATTTAAATACGAATTTGCACGAGATAGTGTTTAAAGTTAAATGAACATCCAACCTCACCGTTCAGCACCCATGCCTCCAACTACTCCTCGAAGACAACGTAGTTTACCTCCAAGTCTTCCTTCTTTCGCCAGTTCGTCATTGCTTTTCCACCGTACACTTCGTCCACGCATATCAAAACATCATGATTTAACTCGAACAAAAATTAAAACTGCCCTAGAATTAGAATTGAAAGAAGAGAGACTAAGGGAAGCAGCTGGTCGTGGGGACTGCGATGCTGGTATATATATATATATATTTATATTTATATTTATATATTTATTTATTACCTATAAACATATCTGACTGACAATATAAATTTAAGTTATTAATTTCCTTTCTACTAGTCCACAACCTGATATTAATAACTCGGATGAAAAGGGGAGAACACCTTTACATTTTGCATGTGCTGGTGGGCATTATAAATGCGTTCAAATTTTGATTGAACGTAAAGCAAATGTTAATGCTATAGCAGATGTTGCAGGAAATAGACCTTTACATTTGGGTAATTTTAAATATTTAAATTTATTTGTTCCTTTTAAAAATCGTTTGAATTTAAGTCTGATTAACTTTTTAAATTTTAGCTGTTATTTCCAATAAAATGGAATGCGTTATAGCACTGTTAGAAGCAGGTAAAGACTCAAATTATTTATTTTCATTATCAATATTATAGTTATATTTATAAATATCATAATTATATTATAAATCTATTAAAAATATTATTAAAATATCATAAATATAGGAGCCAAGATATATATGAATGATGCATTTCATCGTACGCCGTTGTCCGTTGCACGATCAAGACTTCGTATTCTAATGAATAATATTTTTAAAAATTCATCAATTAATTCGGAAAATATCGATGTCGAAGAAATTGCAAAAGACAATAAATATATCTTTGAAAATCGTGAAATATTTGATCAAGTTTTACAGGTATTTCATTTAAGACATTACATCATTTACTTTAAATTATTTTTAAATAAAACTAAAACTATGATTTTTTTATTCACTTAGATAATTAAAATTTTGCGTCATTATCTTATTCTTGAAAATCGAGAAGGTAATAATATTCAAGGTTCAGAAAATATTGAAGATATTGATCTTATTAAAAAGAATTTTGAAATATCACCATCCAATACTGAATCTTCAACAATCAGTGCTATGGAAGCTTTAGATGATTTAACTTCCCAATTATCACAATTAGCCATTACAAAATCTGATATGATGAAAGATGTAACTTCACCATGTCCAGTGATGTTAAGCAAAGTCCAAAACGTTTTGGATAATATAATAAAATATCAAATCTAATAAATCTAAGAACTCCAAAATTTCAATTGAAAAGTTTTCTTTTGCACTTTTAAACCTTTCAAAAAAAAAAAAAAACTATCAACCACCAAGCTGAAAAAGAGCAGAAACAATATAGTAAATAGAAGCATCCAATTCATTAATAAAATGGCATTAAGAGGAGCCATGAAGTACAAATAAACTATTTCTGCATGGAATATTTTCTTTGAAACATATGATTTATTTATGTTTTCTCCCTTTCTATAAAATGAAAAAAAATAAGTTAAGATTTTAGATTTTGAAAATATTAAAATTTTTAGTAAAAAGAATACCTTATTTTTCTTCATGTTAATCCTTTCTTGAATGTTTTTAGTTCTTTTCTCTTGTTTTTCAGTAATCGCTTTGGAAACTGCTTGAAGTCTTTCTTTCCTAATTTATATAACAAAAGATTTTTAATATAACTTTTAAGTGAAAAAAAAAAAACAAATCCATTCATACCAAGCCTTTTCACTGCTCTTCTTTTTGAATGTTTTATTCTTTATCGTCTTTTTCAACAAACTAATATCATCCTTTACTTTTTCACCTTGGGTTTTTTGTAGAGCCTTCCTCCATTCTTCTTTTTCGTGTAATTGTGTCGCCTAATTATTATATAAAATAATTTAAATGACAATCTTTTTTTTTATAAATTATAATATCAGTTATTGATTGAAATAATAATTTACCTTATCTGGATCTTTATTTTTTAATTTCTCCATCTTTTCCTTGTGTCTTTGAAGCTTATTCATTAGTTGAACGTTGTCCATCTTCTTTTGAATCTTTTTTCCCTCAAAATTGAATTTAGAAAACATTACATTTCCCTCAACACTATTTGAATCTTGTATCTGAATATTCTCTTGTTCTAATGGTTTGGAATTCAGATTTATATCTTCTTTACCCTTACTATCGTTATCATTTAATTCTTTTTGTTGATTCAAATTTTTCGATCTCTTTTTTTTATTTTCCTCCCTGATTCGATTTTTTTCTTTACGAATTTTCTTCTTTTTTTCTGAATCTTGTTCGAAATTTTGTTTGGCAAGGCGTAATCGAGAAAGACGTTCAGTGATTGTCAAACGCGTCTTCGAAGAATTATGCTCTTCGTCTTTAGGTTTTGATTTAATGTTCTCTAATTCTTCTGATACTTCTGATACTTCTGATTTTTTAATTTCTTTGATTTCTTTGATTTCTTTGATTTTATTGAGATGTTCTAGTTGAATGTCTGATACAGTTTTTAAATTATTAGGATCAAGCTTAATTGATAATATATTAGAAAAATTGATGATTAGTAAATATTATAGTTCATAAATATGTTTAAAAGTTTAAATTAAATTAAATTTACCTTTTGTTTCTTTGCAGCCTTTTTCTGTTCTTTAAGTAATTGCTTAGAAACTCTTTTCCTCTTGTTATAATAAATTTCATTATCATCTGACTACAATAAATTAGATAAAGTTTAACCGCCGTTTAAAATTTGAAATAGGTAATAAATATAATAAATAGAAAGAAATTCAAAAAACTTACATTTTTAAAATAATTTTTAGGAGGTATTAGGCTAACAGCAGATTCTATAAAATGATTTTGAATTTTAATTCGTTCCTAAAAAAAGTAATTTGTCATTATTAATTTGGAATCCTAGATAACTTTGAAAATAATTTAAATAATCTTTTTGTTAATCACCTTAATGCTTTCGGGTGTCCACGATAATAAAGCCATTCTAACAAAAAAAAAAATAAACGAATAGATATCAGATATAATATATGTGATCACGCAATGTGATTGGCTAGCGATAATCCTCTCCTCGAAAATCTTTTTGAATTTTCTTTTTTCTTTGATTTGGTGCAATGGTTTTCCCTAGATCTCTGTTGGGTTGTACCAAAGTACGAAGTTTTGTTAATATACAATCATTCTTTCATCCGACCACGAAACGATCTATTACTACCCTCGAAATTTCGAAGGTTCAACATAAATTTAATACCTAAATATTAATTAAATATTTTATAACATAAATAATAAAATATGTTGAATGTATTTTCCTTATAGTTAAAAAATCCATCTTTATTTTGTCAAAATGCATTTGTAAATGGAGAATGGGTTAAATCGAAAACCAAACAGGAGTTTTCGGTATTAGGTATGAAGAAAAAAATAAGATATAGAAAGTTGAAAAAAAATTTAAAGATTAATCAAAATTTGGCCAGACCCGGCGACTAATCAGGAGATTGGAAAAGTTCCTGAAATGAATGCCGAAGATATTAAAATAGCTATAAAAGCTGCCAAAGAAGCATTTGAAGATTGGGCATCCCTAACCGCGAAGGTAATTACCTACAAGTTTTTATCATATTTATATAAAAAAAAAAAAGGAAGGAAATTATTAAATATTATTTATTGTTATAGAATCGTCACAATTTTCTTAAAACTTTGAATTCATTTATCTTGGAGAATAAATACGATCTTGCTACAATTCTTACTCAAGAGAATGGGAAACCAATTAATGAAGCGTTAGAAGAAATTAAATATGGAGCAGGTTTTATCGAGTGGTTTGCTGAGGAAGCAAGACGTACCTACGGAGACGTTATACCATCACCTATGAAAAGTAACAGAATCTTGGTACAGAAACAACCGATTGGTGTAGTCGGGATTATAACTCCTTGGAATTTTCCAAATGCAATGATTACGCGTAAAATTGGTGCCGCATTAGCAGCTGGATGTACAGTCGTAATAAAACCTGCAGCTGCAACACCATTTTCAGCTTTAGCGATTGCGGAGCTTGCTTCAAAGGCAGGATTTCCAAAGGGTGTGATCAATGTTGTTACATCAGAACAAAATGTTAAAGAAGTAGGATTGGAATTAACGGTAAATCATATTTCTGAATTAATATGAATAAATTATACGTATAAAATAAGAATAAGTTGTTATTGATTTTTATTAATAATTTTATTAGACTAATCCGGATGTGAAGAAAATATCGTTTACCGGATCGGTAAATATTTAAATTTGGAGTGGATGATAAAATTATATTTAATAAATAATTTGAAATATTAAAAATAGACACCAGTTGGTAAGATGTTGATGCAACAAAGTTCAAGTACATTAAAGAAAATATCACTGGAACTAGGTGGAAATGCTCCCTTTATTGTTTTTGACGATGCGGAAGTAGAGGCAGCCGTAGAAGGTTTGATTTGATTTGATTTATTAATTTATTATTATTAATGTTATAATATAATTATATATAATAATATATAATAGAAAATTAAAAGAATTATTAAAATATTCAAAATATTCTAAATATTCTAAATATTCTAAATATTCTAAAATATTGTAGGTACAATAAAGTCAAAGTTTCGTAGTTCCGGACAAACGTGTGTCTGTGCGAATCGTATATATGTACAATCTTCAATTTATGCCGAATTCGCAACTCGTCTATCTGAAAAAGTAAGTAAATTTAAAATAGGCAATGGATTTGATCAACAAACCACTCATGGTCCGTTGATAGACGAAAAAGCTATTAAAAAAGTTACAAGGCATGTAGAAGATGCAGTAGCAAAAGGAGCAGAAATACTTGTAGGTGGGGTTCAACGCAATGGAAATTTCTTTGAGCCTACAGTTCTTACAGGGATGACTTCTGAAATGGGTATTACAAGAGAGGAAACATTTGGGCCCGTAGCTGCATTATATAAATTCGAGTCAGAAGATGAAGTTATTAAATTAGCAAATGATAGTAATGTAGGTTTGGCAGGTTATTTATATAGTAGAGATGTAGGTAGATGTTGGAAAGTTGCAGAAGCATTAGAGTTAGGAATTGTTGGTGTTAATACAGGAGTTATTAGCTGCGCTGAAGCCCCATTTGGTGGAGTAAGTAAAAATAAAATTTTATTTTTATTTTTCATGACTAATTTTTTTGATAATTTTTTTTGACGCAAATTTTATAATTTAGGTCAAAGAATCAGGCATAGGACGTGAAGGCACGAAATATTTAATAATTTATTATTTTAATGTTCGTCATTGAATATTTTGAAATATTTACTGATCTTTAAAGAATTCTATTTTTAGGTTCTAAATACGGGATTGATGAATATCTTAACATTAAATATATAAATTTCGGTGGCTTGTAATCCAACACGTTTATGTTTCGTTGATTATGTGTGTACAATATTTACAATTTTTACAATATTAACGATAACAGTAATAAATTGACATGGACGATGTCATTTGTTCAATATTAAATAAAAATTATGATTTATGATTTACATTTATTATATTTATTATATTTTATTATATTTTATTATATTTTATTATATTTTATTATATTTATTTATGACATGACGTACAGCGATCGCAAGTTTTTGTACAACAGTTGTGAATCCTTTAACATCTTGGAATTATATATAAATACAAACTTTTATTTCGCTTAATTTTTATCGCAAATTGTTATCTACGTGAATTATTAACGCGACCTTAACTTTTTAATTATTCGATATTTTTATTTGCACTAAATTCATAAGATTTATTAATTCATTTGGTAAGTATTTTGGAAAGATAAACATCCCAAGGGGTGTTGTAAACTGGACTCGAGACTTTATACTTTCACACGCACATTTATATAAACTTTGTTCTTCATTATATTGTAATGTTTTGATATTTATCCTTTCGAATTTTCATATAACTAAATTATTTTTTGAATTAAGCTGGCTAACGTTTTGAAACTGAGCTTGATTTTTTTTCAATTCCCGAAATTTCGGTAATTATATTCGTGTTTATTTTCTTGTATTTCTCAGTATTTTCATATCCTTCATATCTATTTCGTATGAAAATTTGGTTAGTTAATCAATTAAATATATTTTTTTCATACTTATAAATTTTATGATAATATAAACTACTTAATTATTAAATATTTTCATAAGTTATAATTATACTAAGTTATCACTTCTTTCTTCCCCGATAAACTAGAACAAGTATTATAATTATGGAGGGACTAGTGGGTGAAAGCTCAAAGACTCTAGTACAACGGAATAACGTGCCCATTATAAACATCGTAAATCATTCCCTTCTACAAGACCCAAAAGATATGCCAGAAACCGCTTTTGTTATTGCTTTTTGCGTTAAATTTAATGAAGCTCTTGATAATTTACTTTTTTGGCCTGAGGTCTACGTTTTTTTTTTTTTTTTCTTTTTTTTTTTTTTTCTCTTATACATTTCATGAATTACCCAAATAACTTATCTTTTCTTTTTATAGGACTTAGACCGAGCATTATGCCGTACAGAGGAAAGCCCATTACTCGACAAATTACACAGATTATTCCTTAAAAACTTAGAAAATTCGAATAAAAAGATCGAGTAAGCTTCAAAAATAAATTCATCGAGATTATAAATTATAATTGATATATTTATTATTTTTATTTTTATTTTTTTAGAAAGAGGAAATGGGTGACCACTTTATCAAAATTAATAGACGATCGGCTTAGAATCAATGATTTTTACACTGACCACAATCCAATTAAGTTGGTAAAATTTGACTATTACAAACTTAGTGTTCGTGATAAGGTAATTTTATTTTAGTATTTTTTTTTACAATAAAATCAATGAAATCAAAATTATTTATACTTTCTAATTTCTAATTAAACTTTTAATTAAATAATCTGTTATAGGTAATGATTATGCAATGTTTAGTAAGTTGGCAGCTAATAAGCTCCAACAAAATTAAAGAACTTATCAGACAACAACATCATGGATTAAATGAAGACGAGATTCGACCGTTGGAAGTTGAAGTTCTTGGTGAGGACAGTAAAGATGCACGATATTATTATTTGGGCAGTGAGTATCAAAATTTTTATTTAAATTTTATTTAAATTTTTAAAAGTCTATTATTATATTAAGTTTATTAAATATCATATCATTATTTAGTTGGTGCGAGAATTTATCGTGAAACATTAATCACGAATTCAGATAATCCATCAATAATGAATATTAAATGGGAAGCAATTTCGACCACCGTTGATGATCTTAAAGCTTTTGTTAATGACCGTGATGAGATCGACCCGGATCGATCGGAAAAAGAAAAGGCTCTATACATGAAAATAGTAGGACAGGTTATCCCTTATCTTGAGCCGTTAGCAGAGGTAAAAATTATAAAATTTGATGCATCAATTAAACTTTTTAGGTTATTTATTATATTCATACGCTTCAAACAGGAAAAGGCACAGATAGAAACGAAAATGAAAATCAGGGATGAAAAAAGAGAAATAGAACGAATCCATCAACTTAAGAAGATTGAGCAATTACATGGAGATGCCGAGATTTTACCTACAAGATTTCGTTCACGTAAAAACAAATCTTCGAATACGATTAATAATGCTTCTAGAATTAGCATTTCTAAAGGAAATAATTTATCAAACGAAAACAGTGCTATTAAAACTAGTAATTCATCAAACGAAAACAATGATGTTAAAATTAATAATTTATCAAACGAAAACAGTGCTATTAAGTCTTCATCCGGTAATTTAGATTTATGCAATAACATCATTACTGATGATAATGAAAATAATATTTCTATTTCTTCTACTATCGCTAATGATCATGAAAACGATGATCAAAACAAAAGAAATATTAAAAGGAATAAAGCCAAAAGCGTTAATAAAGGCAAAAAACCGATCAACAAAATCACATCATCGGATGAAAAATCGGTTGACTCAGGACCGATTTCCGATCAAGTTATTTTGGATGATATTAATGGAAACATTTTGAATAATGGTGATGATCCTATGATTGGATCCTCGAAAAATGTGCGAATTAGGAATAAACGACGTAAAGAAAATCATTCTCATGAAAACGACCTAAATTTTATTGATTGCTCAAATGAGAAAAATGTAGCTACAGATATTAATTTCGATGATGTGAAGCATTCTTGCTCAACCTCAAGCAAAGTTGACATACATAATTTAATACTTTCTAATAATAATAATAATAATAATAATGATAATAATAATAATGATGATGATGATGATGATGATGATGATAATAATGATAATAATAATGATAATGATAATAATAATAATAATGATAATAATGATGATAATAATAATAATAACAATGCAAGTAATGCTTTAGAGAATCCAACTAAGAGTAATGCTAATAATAATAATGATGAGATACCTAGTCTTTTGACGATTAAAAATGATTACGGAAGTTGCGCTCGTCGAATAAAACCCATCACTGACGCAAATAAGGCAAAAAATAAATTAACTTGTAGTGAAAATATGATTGATAAATTTAAATTAGAAGCATCTTTAGCATCCTTAGCATCATTGGAAGCCTCTCAATCTTCCCCAGATATGGTCGAGTTAAGTACCCCTTCGATGGAAAGAGACGAAAGAGATGAAAGAGACTACAGTGATCCCGAAACCACCAATGAGATTAGTAATCACGTGAATGAAAGACCATGTGAAAATGAAAATACGCAAAAAACGTCAAAGATGGCATTGGACAATTTGCTAATTCATGAACCCTCTAATGAAATTATGACTCTTGACGTATTTAATTCAAGAAATTCCTTGTCTATCAATGATAATATCTATGATATCGAATCAAAAATCCTTTATAATGGATCAGATCAAACTTCGTTAAACGCTCTTGCTACTGTTGCATCCATGGTTCCTCCCGTTAGAACAGATAGAGCATCTGTCAATGATACGAATAACGATTCATTAATGGATAAAAACAATGATAATTTAGAACTAGAGAATAAAATAAATGATTCTTCACACCTAAGTAGAAACAAGACTTCGGTCGCCTCTCTACTTAATAATAATGAAGAAATATCCACCAATCAAGAAAATTCTACCGATCTCATGCCTTCATATGCAAATATAGACAATATAAATGTAGAAGAAAATTCAGGTGTAAACAAGAGTCAAAAGCTTTTAAGTGATTCACCATCTGAAGATTTTAACAAGGTTTCGAAAAAGAATAAACAACCAACTGATGATTCATGGCTGACCTCCAAGAGAGTTAAGACCGTCGATAGTCCAACGACCACGACTTCCAGGAATGTAAGTTTTGCTCCCGTCCATAATCTACTCGGATGGTCGTTGGACCATGAGTTCTTCGAAGGGCAAACGAGTGACGAAGAGGATCAAAACTCAGTAGATGAGGTATTTGGGATTCCAGGGGAGACCGATCTTTCAGATGTTGGATCTGAAGATACGGTCTTCACGGAGAGTTAAAAAGGGTTGAAATTTTCTTGGAATATTTTTTATTTAGTTTTTATTTAGTTGTTTTTTTTTTTAGAATTGACAATGTGGATTTTTAAAATACCAATATAAAATGTAAATAATTCAATTTGGAGTTGGCCATTGTAATTTTTTTTTTGCAATGGCATGTATAAAACATGCATTTAAATATAATTGTGTATTGATTACACGTAAAAATATTTTTATAATACCACGGGGGTTTTTTTTCTTCATTGTGCATTTTGAGAATTTGTTATGCATCATATATCCAACTATTTATTGACTTGTAACACTTAATTATTATAAATTTCTAGCCACGTTTTCTCTTAAAAGGAAGATTGTTGTGTTGTACAAAGACGCCACAGCTGTTATACATTACCCCCAATGTTCGGTTTCGATAAATTATAAATTAGTTCATTTGACAAATTTACTACTCATTCTTTTCAATCATCATATAATTTATAATTACAAAAAAAATTCTTAAAATGTCCTCAAATAATGGGAAAACTAAGGAAATCATTAAACGTAAATTAGTTATTGTTGGGGACGGCGCTTGTGGAAAAACTTCTTTATTATCCGTTTTCACATTAGGTTATTTCCCAACGGTAAACCAGAATTTTTTTTTTTTGTGGAGTTAAATTCTTTACTTTATGATTTGGTTGTCTTATTTTTTTTTGACTAACATAATTAACTTTTCCTTTATTATTTTTTTTTTTTCTTTCTAACATAGGATTATGTAAGTTATAGATCTATAACAAGAGAAACAAAAGACTACTTTGATTTTCTATTTTCCTTTTTTCGGTTCTTTCTTCCTTTTAAGAATACTTTCAGTTGTTTTTTGAGTTTTAATTTTCAAGTTTTCATTTCAGGTCCCAACTGTATTTGATAATCGGGTGGCAGATCTAAAAATCGACGGGAAACCTGTACAACTGGCGTTGTGGGATACAGCGTAGGTTTTATGAAATAATGAATTTATTTTTTTTTTTTAAAAAAAAAAAAATTCTTTATATAATTATATTTAATTCATTTTTTTCCTTAACAAGTGGTCAAGAAGAATATGAGGTTAGTCTAACGACCATTTGAATTTGGGATAAAATGTAAAATTTTGGGGAAATTATTAGTTACTGAAAAAATTTAGTTTGGAGTAGAAATTAGTTCTACACAACGCGTTGTGCAAAGTCTCATTTTTATAATTTCTATAGAAATTAAGGCCACTTTCTTATTCTAAAGCACATGTCATTCTGATTGCGTTCTCGGTTGACTTGCCAGATTCATTAGAAAATGTTTCCGCCAAGGTATTTGATCGTATTCATGAATTTTTTATTTATTCAGGAAAGTAATTTATTAACCTCTTGCATATTATATATAGTGGATTGAAGAAGTTACTTCTCTTTGTCCGAATGTACCTGTCATTTTAGTTGGATTAAAGAAAGATTTAAGAGAAGATGTAGCTAAAATTGCGGAAATGAAGGAAAAGGGAATCGCCTTTGTAGAAACAAGACAAGTAATTATATTTTATAATTTGAAGCGTTTATTTTTTTTTTTGTAAAGAAAATTTCTTGATAAATTTTATAATAGGGTGAGACTATGGCTCAACGGATAGGAGCTAGGAAATATATGGAATGTTCTTCATTAACTGGAGAAAATGTAGATAACATTTTTGAAGCTGCATCACGTGCAGCGCTTTTGACGCGAGAAGGCACTGGGAAGGGATGTTGTGTCGTTCTGTAATAATATCAAAAAAAATTTATTTATCTTTATGTAATTTTATCTGAATATTATGTGTAAAGGGGAGAGGGATTTTCTATTTACTTTTTTTGGACATATTTGACTTGTATAACAACTTTTAATACCTTTAACATTAACTTTTCCGCTCAAAATATAAAATGTACCATTATTTTCCAATAAAATCGCATTTAATCACGTAAATATTCTTATATTTAAAATGTAAAGGTATATGAGGTATAGACTCTTATTATGTGTAATGCATGGGTTAGAGTTACAGTGGTGATTATTTACCACCATGTATCACGCCCTTCGAATTTCATATTTACCATTTTTTGTTACCTAATGATTGTCACCCTAAATTTGTCACATGAATTAAACAAATTAAACACGTGGAATATACTGATTTATGATCACAAGATTTTTATTCTATAAACACGTGATAATGCATATAATACGTTACTTAAAAATCTGCTAAAGTATCGTTTTTGAGACATCGAACATACTATATATATCGGAACAGAAATATTAACCGATTATGAAAAATAAAAAAGATTTTTTAGAAGTAAAAGGCGGTCATTTTTTTGATATGTTTATAATTGTTTTATTTATGAGAAAACTTAAACTAGACCCCAGGGTTTAGGTCATTTATTCTAGACCCCCGGGGTTTAGGTCATTTTGTCTAGAC